TGAGTTTTAAAAAAAAATTTCTAAGATTTTTACAATAATATTTTTTTAAATGCATTATAAATTTTTTTAAATTTTAATTAAAAACGCGTCTAATTTTTCTTGGTCTATATTAGCTCAGCTTATTTTTTATAATTTTTTAATTTACTAAATGTTCTCTCGCAATTACCTCCGCAAATGACAAAATTAAAATGTATTCTTGTGTCAAAAATAAATTAATGTATGCACTTTTGTGCATATTGTAACTTGTAATGATTTCATACACGCCTAGTAAACACCTATTACATTTATTATCAAATCATATTGTGATATTCCATTTTCTTCATTTAACTCCTCACTTGTACATATGATATCATCATACATTTTATTTAATTCTGCTATTAAATCTTTGAATATACTGGTAAATGAACACAATTCGTTATGTAATTTAACGCTCAATATATTTGCGAATTGTGCCAGTTTTTCCAAGGCATTTTCAGAAACCTATACTAATTATTTCATCAAAATGCTTCATTTAAATTTTTAACAGGTCCACTCGCACTTTTTAAAATCAATTGTCATCTTTCTACGGTCCATATTCACTGAAATTTTACTTTAACAAGTTTACAATATCTATTTTTACCCATTTGCTTTAAAAAAATTAAAAAATAATTTTGACAATTGTCATTTTTCTATGGTACACCTTCACTGAAATTTTAATTTAACATGTTTACTATGTATATTTTTACCCATTTGACTTAAAAATTCAAAAATAACGATTATGACAATTGTCACTTTTTTATGGTACATAATCACTATTTAAAAAAATAACGATGACAAATGCCAGTACATTAATAATAGTAAGACAGAGCATAATAATTTAAAGAAGCTATAAATAACTTACCCTCTCATAATTTTAATATCTACTAAATGTTATTATTATATTTATTGGAGTCAACCCTAGAAGTCTTGGTCGAAAAAAATGATCAGGATAATGGGTGAGGTGAAAAAAAGCAACCCAAACCTTAGATCGTCTTTTAAAAAACGACTCATATTTTGTATCGGATCGAATAAAACGACCACAACTTTGGGTTGAAGTCGTAAAAAACGACCCGTTTGAGTCTGAATCGAAAAAACGACACAACTATTCGTCTTTTAGTCGACTTAAGTATAACTCGTATAACGACTCAAGTTGGAAGTCTAAAGTTAAAGAAAAATGTTTTATAAATTAATAATATTTAATTTAAAATCTCCGTCCTTAAGTCGACTCAAGTTCATATAACTATTCGTCCTCTAGTCGATTCAAGTATATTATATTTCGTATTCACAACTCAAGTCGGAAGTATAAAGTTTAAAATAAAAAAACAGAAGTAATGTTTTATTAATTAATAAAACTAATCAGGTTCATAGAACTATTCGTCCTCTAGTTGACGACTCAAGTTTATAGAACTATTCGTCCTCTAGTCAACTAAGTTCATAGTACTATTCGTCCTCTAGTCGACTAAGTTTGTAGAACTATTCGTCCTCTAGTCGACTCAAGTTTATAGACTTGAGTTCACGACTTGAGTTGGTCGACTTATTCGACTAAAGACTCTGAGTCGTAGTCGGGTGAACTCGACTTTTTAACAACACTAAAGGTTCGGTTCTAATTATAAAGGTTTATTACGGTTAGAAATTTTTTTTTATTGAAGCAACACCAACTTCTAATTTATTTTTATTATAAGCATCTATGAATTATATATAAAAAAAATATATAAGATTCAAAATAACTCATTTTTAAATATATTATTTGAACGTATAAGTATATTTTCTAATATAAATGGTTTACTTTTTGTTCGTAATGACGATAACACAAATTTTAGCCCCGAAAAAGCCCTTTCTACAGAAACTTGTGTTTCGGGAACCGCCAGTACTATAAGAGCAAGTTTATATAATTCTGGATATTCAAATTATTTCCATTTCTAAAATATAAAAACTGAACCGGTTTTACCGTTTATTAGACAGGTTCTTTTTACTCCTTCAAAAAATAATTATATTGGTTTGGTTACGGTTATGGTTCAGATATTTATAATGGTTTAATGGTTCGTTACTGTTCACTCCGGGTCCCTGCTCTCAACTTAGATTTTTTATTTTTCCTAAATTTTTTAACCTACCAGCTTATGTATTAAATGCTATATAGCATTGTGTTACTGTGGGTATATTATGTTAAGAACACCCTGCTAAATTTTAAGAAGATTTGAGCCCCCTGCCAAAATTTTTTAATATTTTTGCAATTGTATTAAATTTGGATCCTTTTTTCCATATTAAAAATCAGTGTCTATACATGTCAATACTGGAAGCAAACAACCTTAAAAGCTATATCTACCACCCCCCCCCCCCCTCCCCACCCTAAAATATTTTGCCATCTTCTGTGGTGATATTCCCACATTAATTACAAGTTTTTAATTATAATGGTACTTCTTTCATTAATTTAAAAAGGAATAACTTAAATTATCAATATTCTACTATCAAGAAATTATTAATATAGTAGTTATTTTCTAGAATATGAATTGTTAAAAATTAGGGATTTAAAATAGAAAAATTTTTCCCAGAAAACTTCAAAATTTCCCCAATTTTTATTTACATTTTTTTTAATAATGAGTTTTATCATTGGAAAAATATTTTTTTCTCTTGGTTTATATATCATAATTGTGCTTTGTTTTTGTATGTACATTCATTTCGATAATATTTAATGTTCATTGGAAACAATTTTTTTCTTGACTGAATATTTAAAATTTTTAATAATCACTGAAAAGGAATAGGAATAAAAATTAAAAAGGTATAGGATAGGATAGGCCAACTTCATCTTTATATTTTTAAAATGCTCTCAAGATATTTACTAGTAAAAATTTGTTAAACAGTTGATATGAAAGGTTTAAAAATATACTAACCTAAAGATGAGATAAAAATACCTTTGATGGGTGGGCAAAATATAAAAGTGGAATCTATTATAAATTTTATTCCCATTTTCTATAAATTAATTGAAACAGGGACCAATATTACGGGTGAATATCTACTAGTGAATCTATTAAATAATTAAAGAAATAGGAAACACAAAAATTATTATCATAAAGGATTAATTTCCAATTAGCGAATGCATTGGGTCAGCATCTTATGGACTTAGTTTATTTTTAAAGGGTCTAGCAAATAAAATATTGTCAATTTAAATTTTAGTAGCAACAGCCAAAGTATTATAAAATTCAACATTCATCTTATAGTTTTGATAATTAATGGTCTGTTAAAAAATATTTAGCAGCAATACTTCATATTATAGAGAAAAAACACTCAATTTTAAATGAAGTTTTTTTAAATACACAAATAGAGGTAGTGGAAGCGGACAAATCAAATTTATCTGACGTTCCTCAAGCATTTATTCATATTAGGAAGATCTTCTATACAAAATTATAGAGATCGAACAATATATAAAAAAAATATAAGTAAGCATTGAAAACAAAAATAGATCAGTAACGCCATCAATGTTTATTTTACAATTTTGTGGTTATTTTTCGATTCTAAACTTACTCATAGTTTAATATCAAACCAGGAAATTTTTTAAAAGATGAACACAGGTAAGAAATAAGATATAAAAATACATCTTCACTCCAAATTTAAGGTTTTAATGCTCAAGGATTAAAAAGTTATTTGCATTAACATTGTTACCCTGTTAATCGCTTCCCGGTCTCCTATAAAAAAAAAATTAGTTTTGAGTCCCCTAAGATTTTAAAGGCGAGTGACGTCACTGAATTTATGTAATATATGTTTTTTAAAATCATAATTCACTTTTAAGTATGAAAATGATCAAAAAACAAAAACTACAATATTTTGTTGGGGGGATGGGAAAGGGCAAAAATTTCGCGAGGAAAACACCACAAATAGCCTTCTTCCTCATAATTATGGCTCTGCTGAAGATGCAACACAAGGATTTCCTATCCAAAAAGTGACCCTGATTCTATTTTGATTTTATTCAAAATAAAGTTTATAACATTAAAATCGACAAGAAAATTTTTTTCAGAAATTAAATTTTTTTTAAAATTGTGAGTTAATTTTTATAATTTACCAATATTAAATTCATGTTTAATGTTAATTCACTAACGAAGTTATTTAATCAATTTTTTTTTATCTGAGTAAGAAGAAAACTAGGCAAGATTTTTTAGATATTAATGAATTAATGTCCATTAGCTAAGGATGGAGAGTAATTATGCTTGAAAAATCTATTTAATTATATAATTGTAATTCCCTTTTTTATTGTAACGGTAATTAATTCCACTTATTAATTACTTATTTCAAAAATTTCCTTTCTTAAATTTAATTTATTTTTTATGAAAAACAATTTATAATAGCAATCATTTATTTATTCATATTTTTTTAAAATTTAAAATAGTCATAAGGTGGTTAGTTTTATAATAAGGGATTCTAAATCTTTAATATTTACCTTGGACTCTGGCGATAACTCCGCTAATTGCTATTCTAATACAATCTCACATTCAATGGATGATAAATTTCAATAGCCAATATTCAGTCCAAAATTTTTTTGAAACAAAAAAAAAATTGTGCAATCGACCATCAAATCCTGAAGCGCCCAAAATCAAACTACTAGTAATTTTCTAATTGACTATTTGTTCCTAATTGAATTCTTTTAATATAAAAAAACATCCTTATTAACACATTTATAATACCATTTAAAAAAATATAAACCACTTAATCATAAAAAAGAGTCATCAGGTGACTGTAAATTTTATTATTAAAAAGTATAGTATATCCAAAATTAATTTTGTCGTCATTTACTATAGCAAAGTTTTGCTTGCAAATTAATCGAAGTATTGAAAATGATAGTAGAGCTTATTTGTTTCAGATTTTCAGTATCTATTTTAGCATCCCGAAACAACAACATCCCTCAACGCACTCCAATTTTTTTTTAAACAAACAAAAATTTAATGACATTTGACCTAAATTTAACTTTAAAAAAAAATATGTAATTTTTTAAATTTATAAACGAGGTAATAATGTTAATTTACCTATACGAATTTCTTTCCTTGAATGAAACTTAATACTTATATTTTAAAATAAATTTACTAATTTTTTAAAAAAATATATAAAATTTTAAATGGCGAAAAGATTATTAGAAATTCTGATCTTATTCATATTTGTGACAGGTTAATATAGTATTTTAATAAAAAAAAGTAACAGATTTTAAGGAATGACATTGTAAACTCGTACTTAACCATTTTTTTTAAAGTAACTATGTTTTCTCATAAAGTATAATATAGATAAGAAAGAAATCTTGGGCCTAAAATTTAAACTTTTTCTTTCTTTCTCTTATTCGATTACTAAAAGCGTATTATTGGCCAAATTTAAAATAAATGAATATATAATATAATAAATATTTACTAAAAATTAAAGACTTATTATTTTATTATATGGAATTGATCAATATATTGCTATTTTTGATAAATTTTGGTAACTATCATTTGTTAAAAATACATATGGATGAGTTCCGTATTATAAAAAAAATATAGACAAGTTTCACAAAAATAATTTTTAATAAATTTTTTGAATTATTTTTTTGTAAAATATAATTTTTTTTATATAGATAATTAGTTCATGAATTATTTTGGACAGAAATACTTTCTAATTGGTGATACTAAAATAATATTTTTTCTTTCATATCTTCCTTATTCTCATAACCCCTCCCCTCCCTTCACCTTCTTAAATCAAATGATTACAGGAAGAAGCTCTCAAAATAGTAATTACTGGGGAACATACATAGGAGAATTAACCGGCCTAGACCACGATGTATATGGTTCCCTCTATATAGGTGATAAGAATTCGCTAATCATCAAGGATTTTAATTTTAATGGAAAAGCTGCAGGTCATATTTTAAATGTTTTTTTTGTATCCATTTATTAAGGCTTATTTAGTAAGACAGTCAGGTAGTGAGCTTTTTTGTGAGAGATCAAATTAGATATTGGATTTGGGTTTCAAAGATTTATCTAAATATGAAATCAAATGAATTATCATCTGGTTAAAATTTGTTTTATCAATAAGTAGCGTGCCATAAAAAAAGTCACCGAAAAAGTATAGTTACAAACTATATGATTCTTTTAAGACCAGTTATTGTGTGGTCTAGATCCTAAACACCTTTCATATATGAATATATGAAGTCTATATGTCTGATATTTTATCAAGGCTATACTATAAAATCATTATATTTATAGGACATCTTGTAAAGTAAATTCTATAGGTAAGAAGCCTATTAAAATTTGAGTAAATATTTCGAAATTTAACAAATAGTAAAAAAAACTTTACTTAAAATTAATGCGAAAATAAGGTCAAGGCCACATGATATATAAAAAAATTTAAGATTTTAATATATTTTTAGAAAAAGCTTTAAAAAAATGCCAGAGAGAAATTTTCTGTTTTTAATGATATCAGGTGGTTACGATCAGAATAGGTAAGATTTAAATTTGAGTTTTAGAAGATTGAATGGTGTTTATTTCTATAAATTTGAACACTTGGTCCAAAGCTAACTATAGCTCTTAAATTTTTTAGAGCAATCAAATTTTAATGTAACAAAAAGAAAATGTTTTATATATTTTGAATAATTTTTAGCATTCTTTAATGTTGGAATCACCAGCGGAGACCCTAGCAACCAAGGATATCGAATAGCAGATGAAACAGGAAAGTAATAACTTTATGTAGCTATTTTTTCTAAATTAATATTTTGGGCATTTTATAATAATTTAACTCAATATTAAAATTATTTTTTTCAAATAAATATATCTCGTCTAATAAACAATTTTCCCATACTATGAGCTATTCACATCTTGCATAATTCATTGTATTATTTTTATCCGTTAGTACAGCATAAAAATCTATTTCTAATTTTGAGCACGAAGAACTCTTTTAATATATATTAAATCATTTTCATTAATAAAATAAATAGTTATTAGTAAATTTCTTTTTCTTATTTGTAAATAAATAACTTTCTCATACTAGGTCGCTCATATTAGAATTTTAGTTTAATCCGAGAAATTTTAGCAGTTTATTAACACAGAACTTCTTCAAATTAAGGTAAAAAGAGTTTCTGGCACTAAATAATAAATTGCATATTTGTTTCAAATACATAAAGTTTTGGCTATCAAAAAAAAAAAAATTAAAATTATAAAAATAGATTACTCTCTAATTAATAATGAGTGGGGGGGGGGGGTGCTAATCGCATGTTTCAGACTAAGACAAAGTTTATAAAAACCTTATTTTGCCTCCATCAAAACGTATGCTAGTCATTTGGAATAACAATACAATTAATTTTCTTCTGTATTTAACGGAAGAAGGAAATTAATCTTTAAGATTTAAAGATAAAAAAATTTCTTCATAGAATTAAAATAATCTATAATTCTTTTTTAAATCAAGATTTACCGCTTTACGAAAATACGTAGATAAAGACATTGTGCTAAATCTTCCTAAAATTCTATCTGTTCAAGACTTGAAGTGGATTGCTGTATGGTCCGAGATCGAATTAGTTTATAATTCATATTACATAAAATAACTTTTCCACCTCAATCTAATAATATTAGTTTATTATTATTACTATTATTAGAGCACTCTATTATCGAGAGATAAATATATATAGTGGCGGAGGGGGGGGGGTATTATTTGCTGGGTTATTTCTAAAAATGTTCTAGTGGAAACATTTAAATTATTTTCTTTGTGAAGGAATCAGTTAATAAATTTAGCCTAAATTATTTTATCAATTTTCATATAATATTACATAAGTCATAAAAAGAAGCACTTCATTTAAGATCAAAGTTTAAAATATTGGATAATTAATGAAATATTGTAATTATAAGATATGGAATTAATAGAAGTATGCAGAAGATTTCTTTTATTAGCTTCCCAGGACTCTATCTAATAATCTCTCTATTTGATTTTAAAATAAGAGAATTATCTATTTATAAATAGTAAAATCATGCATTTTTAATGTGTATAAAATTAGCACCTATTTATCTACTTAGGAAAGTTTTTACCAAAGGATATATTGAGTTAAATCATTGAAACAGGGTTTTGAACCGTTAAGTATAGAGGTTCGGTTTGTTTCGGTTTTTAGTTAATTTTATAAAGGTTTTACTCCATTTTGGTTTTTTTTGAAAAAATTCATATCGGTTCGGTTTATAATTTATAACGGTCCTTTTCGGTTTGTTCCAGTTTTTATAAATTTTAAAAAAATTAATCATAAACCATATATATTAATCTTAGAGAAAAATCTTTTTAATTTATATTTCTTATTTAATTTAACCATTATAATCTAATAGATATTTTTATTAAACTTAGTAAATATAAATTAGACAAATTAATTTTTTTTATTTCATAAATAAATAAGATAAAAACAAACATGCTCAAATACAATGAAGAATAAAATAACGCATAATTATAAAGAAATTTATCATATTTATGTTTAAAAAGAGAATTAGAACGGATAAATAAAATATTTTCTAATATTTTAGGATTTAATTTAGTTCTCTGCACAGATAGTATAAACTTAAGGCTAGAAAATGCTCTTTCTACGGATACCTGCTTAGCTGCAACTGCTAGCACAGTTATAAAGTTTGGCATACTTTCTTTATATTTTCCCAAAAATTCAAATGATCGGTATCTTTTTCTATTCTCTCTATATTATCAAATGATCGAATTATAAATTATATTTCTATACATTTATTATTATTTTCTATGCCCTGAGAATTATTCTTATTAAGGCTTTCATGAGACTATAATAAATCTTCAAAATCATCATATAAATTATCTTTCGAATGTGAACACGTAGGCATAGTATTTAGAATTTCAATATTACGATTATTTAAATTTTTTATTAAGTTACAAGTTTTAGAAAGATGTTATTTGGCTTCTTCAAATGTTAAAAATACACTATATTTTGAGTCAAGATATATCGCTAGCAAAAAACGTCATTTTTCAAATTTATTTCTCATGCTTTTATCGCAGAAACTAAAAGTTTGGCAAATGGAGTGTCTACATTGCTCGTTTGCATGATACATTTAATCCACGCGGCATAAAAATCGCCCATTGTAAATTGTTCACTTTTTATATATTTTGTCAAAATATAAGCTGGGATATAAAGCTTTTATTATATCGCTAATTATTTTCCATTCATTCTCTGATGAACATTTTTCGCAATCATTGCTTTGAAGCGATATTTTTTGGCAAAGTTTTTTTAACTCTAGTAATCTCTCCAACATTAAATAGATTGAATCCATCTTGTGCTACAATCTATTTTTTCAAATTTAATTTGGACAGAATAGCCATTGTTGTTTGATTTCTTGATTTATAATGACAATTTCATTTGAATTTTTAATGCAATCATTAATTGTTAATTGAAATGTATGTGAGAGACATCTAATGCCCATTAATATGGATTTGGTAAGTACAAGATTAATATTTTCAATGTTAAAAGGTTATTTATTTCATCATCAATTATATCATTGTTATTATTTAAATTATCATTATCTATATCATCATTATTTAAATAATCGTTAAGGCTATCATCTTCTTCATCGTGATGTATTAATAGTTTAATTAATTTAATCATATTTGCACATTATCGGTGGTTATCGCATAAATTTGCTCAATTCTTATTTCATATTCTTTTAGAACATATAGAATATTTTTTTATGATATTCTGATGTGTGCCGTTCTTTTACCACTTTCATGCATAGAGTTTTTAATTTTATTCTTCCTTTATTTATAAATTGAATGTTGATCCTATATATGGACCAACCATATCTAGTTGCTATATCTAATTTTAACGAAATAAGTTTTTGGTATATTTCCTTTTTTATATTTTGCGAAAAATCAAACGCCATTTCTTAAATATTATCGTGTATATTTTCCAAATTGATAGTAAGATTTCTACCCAATCCTATAATTATTGGGTCTAAAATTAAAATTTAGGTTAATAATTTAAAATTAATTATCTTTAAACCGTTTTGAACCGGTTTAAAATATCTATAACAGTTCGGTTCGGTCACGGTTCAGAAAATTATAACGGTTTGGCGGTTGGGTTTGGTTCGAAACCCTGCATTGAAATCAGTGCTAAAGATTCTTAATGTCATATTTAGGTAGTATTCCAAGATAGTTCCAGAGCTAGAAATTTTCTACAGGGGGTGATAATTATTTTAATATCGAAATAATTTTTTTTGGAACATTAAAAATTTATTAAAACTAATCAATATGCGATTTATTATAACCAAAAAAATATTTAAGAGCGAATATAACATTACAGTAAAATATCGAATTAAACATTGTATGATAATGTTGGAAGCGCAAAGAGTCTCACCAAAATAAAATTCAATTAATCAAAATTTATAACTTTATTATATATATATATATCCTTTATCATATAAAATCGAAATATAATAATACATAATGTTAATGTAATTGATAACAATGAAATTCATAATTTGAGTATGATAAAATAATAAAATAATAAAATAATAAGTAAAAAGTAAACTTAAATAAAATATAAAATAATATTGTTTGATTTGAGAGGTTAAATCATTTAAGAATTTTAATTAAAAATATATGTTTCGTATATTATAACATTCCCCTCTCTCAAGCTAAAGGAAAGTCTTTGAAAGTCGCTTTTAGTAATTCGAGTTGTTGTATCGTTTTATTTTTCAAATTGTTATTATCTTTGATTTTTAAATTGTTATCACACATCGTTATTGTAATCCTTGGTATTGTTAGCTTGTCAATATCAGAATTGTTACTATGATCCGTTTTCATCATTATTTTTTAATAGTTACCATTTTATTAATAATATGTATATCCAATAATTATATATTGCATTTAAAATTTGTTTTTCTAAATATTTTTTTATATTGATTTATATTTATTATATAATCTTTAAATTAACTTGATAAGTGTTTTTCTCTTATCGGTCTGTTTGTTTTTTTTCCATTCAGGGAAGATGCATATAACATATCAGAATCTCTTCCTGGATGAAAAAAATCATGTTAAAGGTATATTGTTTGTAGTATTTGTTGAAGTCGCATTATTGTTTTCCACTTCCACTGATCTTTTTTTTATTTAATCTATCGTCTTCTTATTGTTTTAAATCTCGTGTTAATTCTACATTATAATTCACTTTCTTTCGTTATTGTGATCCCTGGTAAATTTAACGTTGACTTGTTGTTTCCTTTGATTTTCTTATCCTTATTAGCTTTTCATTATCAGAGTTGTCATAATAATCATAATTCTTTGTATTATTATCTTTGTAATTAATACTTATATTCATAAAATAGAATAAAAATCCCGTTAATAATAAAATTTGATAAGAATTGAATTCGAATGGAATAAATAATATTAAATAATGGGAGGATAAATCAAATACATATTATTTTTATTTTGAATTTATGAAATGATCCAATAAACTAATGTGAAATAGTGTGCACATCTCCTACTTTTAAATTTAAACGAGTTTTGAATTTTGCACTTTTATTCTTTAGTTTAAATAGTATCTAATTATCCTTATTCACCTTTGTATCATAAGCGTTCATAAAATTAAGCAACTTTTTAAATGTTCGCGTTATATTCCTAAAAAGCAATTTTTTAAATAATGGCAAAATTATTATTATATTATCAAACGTTTTAACTTTTAATTTTAATTATATATATTTTGCATTTTATTACTTTTATTTCTAGTTATATTCTCTTTTCGATGTGATTTAGATTTTTTAATCTCTGAAATTATTTATAAATGAATCTTCTACCTTAATTTTATTGTTTTTTTTTATTAAAGATTTGGTTATTTTGTTTGCTATTAAATTGTTTTTGATATCATTAATTTTATTAATCACCAAAATTTCACTGTATAATATTATCATTTATAATTTCATTAATATTATAAGTTTATTATTTTCTTTTAGTTTATCATTTTTATTTCATTAATTTTATTTTTTTTATATGCTAATACATTATTGAATATTCTTCTCGAACGTATTTTGACAAAATTTTCTTCAATATCATTATTATGAATATTCTTGACTCTTATTGTAATAATATTCTTCAAAATATCGTTCATATAACGAAAATCTATTCTTTCTATTGCGTCAATTTTTTAATAATTTGTTCTAAATGGGGATTAAATATTAGTATAATTAGTAAAGCTAGCCCATTCAATCTATTTTATGATGTCGTACTTTTAAGACTTTTATTCTCTGTAATGAATAAAAGATTTTCATTTGGGCTTGTAATAATTAGTATTGTTGCCAAAATACGCAGTTATTTTAATATATTTGGAAAAACTCCAAAATATATTTAAAGTATGCAATTTCCGTTCTTGGAGGACTATCTATAAATTAATCTTTCATGCCATGCCAAGATTTAAATTCTGAAATTAATAGGCTTTCAGGTACATTTATTTCCTCTGGACAAAATTAAGAGAAATATTTAATTTTTCAAAATTAAAATTTAATTTACCCTTACAAGTATTTATAGGTAATAATATAATTTGATATAACCATTTGATGAGTTACAAAGTTCATTTGATTTAAGTCAAAAATGTAACCAAAAGTAGAATAACAACGGTTATTTTATAGTAATCCTCAAATGAGTCCACGTTAATTATGAAACCAGTTTGTCTAGGTGCAAGTCTAGGCTTGCAAATCTCAAAATCATATAATTTCGCATTCGCCTAAACAATCACATAAATCAAATGTATGATATTATCTCCTAGATTTCTAAGTAGTAATATATAATATTCACGATTCCCATATTTTCAACCAAATCCATAATTTTTGAAAAATATTGCATAAAATTGGGGTTTAATTAAATAATTTATTAATACATTCCAATGCAAAAGAAATTGGCTGTCATATTGAATCTAACAATGTATCTGCTTCAAATTGGAAATTCTTTTTACGGTTTCTTCTTGTAGCATAAAAAGTTTCTGAAATTATTTTATTCTGCAAATTCTATCCACAGTAGAAATGTTGCCTAACCGTAGTTATTAGTAGAGATAAATTAAATATATTTTTTTTTGGTTGGTAAAATTATCTTGTATCTATCAATGTTTAAGAAAACAAATTTTAAATTTTCATGGGATAAAATATCAATAAGAGAGGAAATGTTAAAATAATAATTAATTTTAGCTTTTCAAAAATTAAAAATAAAATATAACCTTTTGAAATAGAATACTTTGCAATTCACAATTCATGAAACCTCTTATATTTTTTTTATACTATGCCCCCTCCCTCCATACTGGCTACGCACTCGGACAGTTCATTTCTACAAAATGACTAATTTTAGTACTTATAAATTGACATAATTTTCCTATATTTTAATCATATCTTCTAAAATTGTCAAACAATTTATCCATCTTAAATTGAATATTCCCATCAGAGGATATGCAATAATGCTTTTTAAAATTAGCAATGATCGTTTTTCTATATAATTCTTAGATCCTACACAATAGCATTTCTTTCCTAAGGGTAAAGTGACCTTCTTGACTTATAATTAATAAAATAAATCACTATTTAACCAACTAAATATTTTTTGGAACTAAAAAAAAATCATTACCAATCTAAAGAAAAGCTATGGCCAAATTATATTCAAAGATAATGCTTTAAAATCATTGAAAATTCCTGCTATTAAATCCTTAGGACCTCTCCAGGGACACTCGCATGATATAAGTGCCAAAGAAGTCATACTTTTGACTGAACGTACACTCAACATAAAGCATTTAATTTACGATGGCACTGCTCCAGGTTATTTATAAAAAAGATGTGACAAAAGCAAGGTCTAAATGTTTTAATCAAATTATCACTAAAAAATTTACACTTAGGTTTTTTGCACTGTATTAATTAAAGTTATAACACTAAATTTTAGGGATTCAAACAGAACTCGAATTAAATCTTTAAAAACCGTAATTATTTACAGAACCAACCCGAGTGGTTAAGTAATTTTTCATCCGAATCTGAACTGAACCCCTAGAAAGGTCAATGAATGGGGTTGAGTTCTTAATCTCATTGAAATAATTTGAATCTCGAAAATATTTTTATCGGATATGGCTCATTATAATTTTATAGGAGAGAGATAAGTGATAAAGTTAAAAAAAACTGTTTCTTTTTTACATTATTCTAATAAGTTGGGAAGCGAAAAAGTTCAAACCAGGTTTTAATGGTTCAAACCATGAACCGTTATTTATATCTGATTCAATCCTGAACCGGCCGGATATTTATTACGGTTTGGGTTCCCGCTAAATTTCTTTTCTTTATTACATTAATTTTGTAAGAGTTGTATTACTATGCTGGAAATACCACAAAAATAACTCACGAGGGAGCGACACAAGTTCATGATCATAGAGGGAGGTAAATATTTTATTGATTTAAGTAATTTTGTTAAACGGCTCAATCTTAAAAAAAAGGCTAACCCAATATTATAGCCAAAAAATTATTACACAAGCCTGGAGATTTAATGGCAGAAAGATTTAGACATCTATTAACGATATGTCGATGTTTGCATAATTTTATTTTGGCTAAAATCTTAAATTAAAATCGACGAAATCTAGCCGATAACAATATTAGATTTATGAATGATAAATATGATATTGAATTAAGTTGAACTTTAACTGTAGCTTTTATAAGTATTATTTTTCAGAAATAAACTGTCTTTTTATAAAAAATAAGCTTTTAAAAAAATAATTACCTTTTTTCAAAAATATATTTTAAACACATTTTTTTTATAGTTTTTTTGAAATTGTTAAATTTTAAAAATTTTTTAATTCATTTTAAGCTTTGTCGGTTATTTTATAATTTCATAATTGAGTACTTTGCAAAAGTGTCTAATTAGAAACTATAATCTTTTTTATCTATCTTGTAAACCTGTTTAGTGGCACTATGCTAAAAAAAACTATTTTTATTAATTTGACTTTTAAGAAAGGTATTTTTTGCCGATAAAAAATAAAATTATAATCTTAATGAGGTGATTAATTGCTGACCATTTAAATTTTAATACTAAAATATTGATATCTTTTTAAGATTAAAAGTTTGGGGGGGGGGGGCGGTGTAAATTTGATTTGATGAAATATGTTCAATATCTTTATATCATGTATTTAGTATATTTTACTTCAACTTATTAAGTGGATAGTTTAAAGAAAAACAATAATGGTACAATAAAAAAATTTCCAAAAAGAAAAGAATAGATGCATTGAATATGGTTTGCATCAAATATGTAATTCCTGATCAGTACTTCTAAATTATCAATTTTTCAGTCAATAAATATAAACCAGTTATAAACAAAATAAAAATTACGGCCCGCCTTAAGCCTGAATCTTAAATATCGGATTTTAAATTGCGATTTGAAAGTCAAAAGGTTTCTTTTTCCAGATTTAAAATAATTTTGAATCTTATTAACTAGGATCTTTATGGAGTTATTTGTTCTTGGTTTATTCCTTATAGATTTAAAAGTAAAATAGTTAAAATCTCATAATATTTTGATAAGGATATAATATATTGTCAAAGTAATGGGCAAATATTTTTTTCTAAGATAAAATTATAAAGGCAAATATTAAAATAAAATTTAAAAAAAAGGATAAGTAATTTAATAAGATGTCTAGAAACTAGGAAGGAGAAGGTAAAAAGAAAGTATAGGGAGACATGAAAGATTATTTAATGGAAGAGATTAAACTTAGATAGTTGGGGCGAATAATTGCGGTAGCGAGTCTTTGTCCTAAGAAAAGAAATTCCTTAGGTTGGTGAAATCCCAAATCTCAATTTTGAAAAAAAAGAATGTGTAATCAATGATATCTTATAAATTTGTTAGATTAAATTAATAAAGAATTTGATTATGGGCAAATATTTTTCACTAAAATGAGAATTAAAATTTACAAAAAATAAATTATGTAAAGGTAGAAATTTAAGAATAAAGACGATAAAGTTAATAAAAATGGGAGTAATAATTTTCAGCGAGTCAGTTTAAAAATTTAGCTAGAATCGTCCTAGTTCTAACCCTAATATCTGTTTTTGAAAGCAGCTAAGATAACGAACCCTTTCATTAAACCAATTTAAAAGCAAAATTTTGCGATATATACCCTAACCAACATCAGACTCTCGCATATCTAACATGCCTTTTTCCCACCAGCCTATAAAATCTTTTCCCAATTTTTCACAAATGTTTAAAAATTTATTAATCTATATGTTATTTATTTTTATCTTCTCTCTGCTTATTTATTCTGTACATTTCTCATTTATGAATAACATTCGAAATTGCATTTTTAAATAGTTATTTTTAATTTTGAAAAAACTTAACATTATAATTTCAACTCTTAAAAATTACTAGGTTATTTGTGAGTGATAATATTCATAAGGAGCTTCTACCGTTTTCCTAACTAAATCAATAGAATATCTAAAACATAAAATAGGCAGATAGATAAAACAATTTTATCGTTATAATATTTATAAAATTTTATATTTTAAATTAAGTTACGGAACTTTACTAAAGGCAAATGGCGAAGATTTTCTTATAACTTTGCCAGACAATTTAACATGGATGGATTTTAGATGGTTCAGTCTATATTGTATAGCTTTCACAGTTGATTTAGGTTCAGTTAGAATTCCAACTTCTGAGGATTTGTATTTACCACCTTACAACGCATATAAGGTAACATACTCTAGGATAAAAAGAAAAAAGAATGAAAGAAAGAATAGGAAGATAATATGTAGATATAAAAAAGAAAGTGTTTTTCAATATTGATATAAGGGAAAAGAATAAAACATAATAATTGCTTTTCTTATACAAATTAATATTCATATATTTATTTTTATAGCTCAGGCAAGTATTGTTGAATGAACCCAAAGAAGGATTGGATGTATTTAACACCAAAATTAAAAAATTTGAATTTAATATAAATCGAATACGTTCCGATGATGCTGCAAAAATGAAAATTTAATTTTATTTCGTTTTTTTATGGTAAATGCTATTTTCTTAATTTTTTTAGGTCGATTATTTTTATTGAATTTTCTCTTTTTTTATTTATTGATTTCTTTTTATAATATAATTTTCCTTTCTTTCTTTATTTTCTACCAAAATCATCTCTTCTTCCTTCCTTTTTTCATATTTTGTTTTAATTCCTTTTTGAATATTTTTATTTTAATCAATTATTAATAGCTTGAAATTTATATTATATTTTATCTATAAATTATCATATTTAAGAATAATGCCGAATAACAAAATAAATGAAATATTTTTCCGTTAAAATATAAAAATGATTTTCAAGATTCATTTATTAACTTTGAACTATCAGATTCTCACAATGACATATTGAGTGATGGAATGTAAAAGAAAGTGTTAAATTTCAAATGGTGAGTGACCTACCTAAAGGGCCAGATATCCTCTTTCTCTTAATCTTTATAGATGAGTATTCCCAAATTTTTTTTAATAAAGAGAATGATTAACATAAAATGCCAATGTTTTCGGAATTTTTAATGATATATTATATATAACATAAATGTCATATTGGGATTCGAAATCTCTCAATTTTATATGATTTACTATGACCAACTTTTAAATTTGGAAAGTATAGTTTGATCGGAAATGTATTCCGATATATTTAGAGTAACTACCCTATAGACAATATTTACAATTAAATTTTGTGTATTATGTTGTGATATTCAACTGAGTTAAGGAATAAGGAATAAAAAAGACTCATTATTCAGATTAGATAAAGTTTAAGATTATTTAAGTTTGTTGTTTAAACACTAGTAAATGAGTGTTTGTTATGAAAAAAGAAAGATATATATATATGTAATTTTTTTATAAAATTAGAGTTTTTCTTTTTTGGGAAAACGTATTTCTTAATTTTATTTACTATTAATTTTTCTTATATTCATTTTATTTTTCTCTTAAATTTTTTAATTTTTCTATTATAATTTTTTACATTTATTTGATAATTAGTATTTATAGTTAACGATTATGAATAAAACTTTAAAATCTTAAAATATTTTCTCTACTACAACATATTATTCAATTTATATGAAAAATCTATATAAAAACTAAGATAAATTAAATGTCATTCAAATTTTAACATCTAGATTATCTGATAGTGTTGTTACTCTTTATGTAATGAAATACATTCCGATCATATCAGATTTTTGAAATACATTATAACTGATCATATCAGATTTTTGAAATTAAAATTGGTCCTCAGTAACTCCGAAATCCCCATGGATTCCATATCTCAAACGACATATATATAACCGGTCATATAAGATATCTTTTTTAGAAAATGTATAACTAGTTACCTTTGAATCGATAAAGTTTTCCCTTTCACTCTACTTGAAAAATTAAACTAAAAATGAACTCGGAAAATTTAATAAAAAAAATTCTTAAAAATATTACTTAGAAACACTGACAACCATGAGTGAGAAACCCCCAAAATTTCTAATTTATTTTTTTTATAGATTAAAATCATATGCTTACTTAATAGACAATAAGTAACAAAAGGTCCTTAAAACGCTTTTAGAACATATTTTATAATATCCAAGATCTGGAACCAATTCTAACAAAAGTGTAAATAATTTCCGTGATCCGTGATATATAGCGCATATGCCCTCTGGCGTTGAATAAACAACAGAGCTATGCTAGGTATTCCTCATTTCCATCTAATTGGAACATAAGTTAATTGGGGTGAAAGTTTAAAAAAAAATATGAGGAGCCCTCTACACTTTTGTGGGCAAGCTGCACGTACTTGTACGCGCAACATTTCGAAAAATGTTACAGACGTCCTTAGGCTTTAAGAAAAAGAGCGGGGCAAAAAAAGAGTCTATGCCCAAGAACTGCAGTATAAGTTAATTACTTTAAAGGTGAGTTGTGGCTGATTTGATATTTAATTTTTTATAATTAAAGCTGTGAATTCATACTATAAAAAAAAAATTAAAGAGCATATCAATTCCATTTCGGTTTGTCCTGAAGTCCTGAAAGATTTGGGAAATAGTTGAGATTAACATTATAAAATCAAGCCCAGATATTTTTTATTTAAAAAATTTTTCTTTAATTCTGAAGAGCTTCTTTATGGAATTTTTGCAGTTGTTTAACTTGATAAATTGTTTCATATTTAAGTTTAGTTCCATAACATCTTTTATGGTTTTATAATACCATAAAGATTTATATTTTGTGTATTCTTTTCTATTATAAGTGTAGAGCCATGTAATGGAATCGTGAACTAGATTATGGTCCGAGTTCCTTATGATGTGAGCTAGGAATTGAATACGACGTTTCTTTAATGTAATATGAATTGGAGTGTGTTTTGATATTCTCCATAAATTATTTTTAGATATAACTTTTGGGTAAAAGATGGCATTTATAGTAGTTATTTATGAATGATTGTAATTTTCTGTTTTATTAATTAAATAATAATATATGAATGTTAAAAATTCTTAGTCTGGTGTATACAGATATCTTTTTCGTTTTCCAAATTTTCATATATTTATAAAACGCTCCTCTCGCTTTTTGTATTCTAATTTTCAATTCTTCTTTACAGCATCCTTTTGTCAAGCATAACTCCTAAATATTTTATTTTATCTACAATCTTAATCACATTTCCTCTAATTGTAAAATTTAAATTTTGAGTTGCATTTAGGGATGGAAAAAAGTTTTATTAAAGTTTATTTTTAGACATAATCTAAAACTTAATGTTTCTTTAATAAGTATAGCATATTTTTTGTTTCTTCAACTATTGTAGATACTAAGGCGATACCATCAGCATAAGATATTATTCGATTTAGAATTAATTTTAAAGTAATTATTAAAACAATATTTTTAATTTTCAAAAATATATTTTACAAGTTTTCTAGACAGTTCTATAAAAAAAATTTTAAAATTCTATATAAAAAAATTATAAAATTTATTAAAAAAAATATATTCTATCAGGTTATTTAGACAGAAATCTATATAAAAATATTATAAAGTTCTTTAAAAAAAGAAATTTTTAATTTAAAAAGAAAAAAAATATATTCTATCAGGTTTTCTAGATAGAAATACTATAAAAAAATATAAAATTCTATAAAAAAAAAATATCATATTGTTTAAAAAGTCATGGATTTATTTTGATTCTAGAAGATTTATTTAAGTGCTCTAAATAATTTTAATTTTATTATAAAAAATGGTGTTGGATTTTGATCTAACGGATAGTAATGCAGAAAATTAAATAATCTAAGAAGTGGGCAAATCAATTCTAAATTTATTAAATTCATTTACAATTTATTTGCCAAGGATTTTAAGTATTTCGATCTTATAAATAATGGAATGACAAGATATTTTATAAAATGAACAACCCTCTCCTATCAAATTATTATTTGAAATATTAAAAAATATCTGATTATATGACCCCAAGGAACGAAAGCACTAAACATTTGTATAATCAAAAAGCAAATAATCATTAAACTTATATTATACAAGCTTACATTCGAGTAATTGTATGGCTTTATATAACTATAAAATTAGTATTCTTTTAAATGATTTTTTTTAATTCTATGTATTTTCGTTTTATTCAATTTTAAAAATATTATATCCTAAGTAGCATTGCCAGGATGTATCCAAAAGGAGATAACGAAAAGTTATATGAGAGAATTGCCGATAAACGCCCACTCCCCATTTTCCCGGAGTTTGGCCAGATCACGCTTCTGAAAACTCTTATTTAAATATTATTTTGGTTTTCCATCTTCATTTTTTGTGTTTACTTTTAAGATAACTTACATTTTTATTGGCTGAATAATTGGATTCACTAAATCAAAATTCTGTGACAATTTTTCCTTCTTTATTTATGAGTGGTTTAATTTAAAAAAATACAATGTGATATATATTAAAAAAAAGTATTTTATATTTTTAATTAAAAATTTTTTAATAGAAGTACTTACCAACCTAATCCCGATTGAAATTTCGACAATCCTTTAAGAACTATTTTTAATAATTATATCTTAGCTTATTTTTATAATATTTAAATACTTTTAGATTTCCAGTTTCTATATGAGCATCGTTTGATAATATCACTCAAGTTTCTCTACTTCTTCAGTTTCATTTTTTTTTACAAAACAAACAAAAAATTATTATGACATTTGATCTAAATTAATATTTTTTTAAATTTAAAAAAAATGCAGTATTTAATATACGAGGTAATAATATTAACTTAAACGAATACGCATATGAAACTAAGTATTCATTTCTTAAAAATAAGTTTATTAAATTTTTTTTCAAAAAATTTTTTTTAATGATGGCTAAAAAACTAATAGAAATTCTGACCTTCTTATTCGTATTTGTAGCAGGTTAATATAATATAAAAAAAAGGGGGTTAAGTATTTTAAGGAATTACACTGATAATCTAAGTTGATTATCTTTTATAAGTGCGTTTAGGTTTCCTCAAAATATAAATTACAAATATGATAGGATAGGAAAGAAATATAGGGCCTGAAATTTGGAATAAAAATCCAAAATTTCTTTTCTAACGATATTTATTAAAAAATAAAATTGCCTCAAATTTGAAATAAATGTAATATTCAGTCTTAGCTTCAGAGGGGGTGGGGGATCTGGAATTTAGAATTCTTAAAAAATTTTTAAGTAAATAAAGATTTACCCCTTTCTACAACCCCTACCTCCCAAATAATTAAATTATAAGTAGCTTTGTAATTTTTGAAAATAATAACTATTAAAATAGTATGAATAAAAAAATTCAGACATTAATATTTAAAAAATGACATATTTTTAAAAAATATGCCTGAAACAAACGGGCATAAGCCCTCAATAACATATGTGGGGAATCTTCATATTTCCCAATAAATTTCCGATATGTTTTAGGTTAAGATTTAATGAAGAACATTTCAATATATTTATTCCACTACCTAATAATCGTTTAGCCAATTTGAATAAATTACATGGAGCTCTAGATTAACTACAAAGATGATATTTCTTAGTAGTTTTTTCAGTCATGTAACCTGAGATAATTACATTTTTGGGAACTTTGTTCCCTTTTTTCAACTTTATTTTTCCTTCTTCATCTTTCATCCCTAGTATTAGTTGATTCCATTTATCGGAAATCTGATTGAAATATTTAATTGTCTAAACAAATTTCTTATAAAATATAAAACACAGTTTAATCTTTATATTACAGTGAATTATGAGAAAACCTTCTTGAGAATCAAATTACACTCAAAATATCCCCATATCTTTTAGGTCATTTTCCTATTATTTTAATTGGAATCCTATCATATATTTCAAGCTTTTCCACCTATTTTCCTCATCATTTCTCTCTACAATGAGTAACTGTGCAATTTAATTTTCGAAGAATATACTAAGTCTTGCATCCACAAATTTTTGGGTTAGCAGCAAATTATATAGTTTTGAGGAAACCCCCTTAAAAAGTAAAAAAAAAATAAGGAATTACGGAAAAATATAAAATTTCAAACATTAAAACAAACCAAAAGAATATTTCCTAGTTCAAAATCTGTTTAGCCAAATAAATTAAACCAGGACACGGTCTAAGTTGATTTAAAATTAAAGCTCTTCATATCTAAATATTTTTTTTATTTAAAAAATAATAATGTTCGAAAAAAATTACGATGATTGATTTTTATTGAGGCAGAGTTAAATATATGAATGAATTCCATATTACAATATATAAAATTATACAAGTATCATACAAAGAATTGAAAACTCATAAATGAATACTGTTTTTCTTATAAAAATAATGAATTATCTTAAGCAAGAAACCCTACTTTCTTTCTATATGGTGAAATATTGATTTTCTTTCATATCTGCTTTATTACCCCCCCCCCCCCACCCTTCATCCTCAATTCAATAATTTAAAATATTACAGGTAGTAACTCTCAAAATAGTAATTATTGGGGAACATACATAGGAGAATTAACTGGCCTAGACCACGATATACATGGTTCCATTTATATAGCTGACAAGAATACGCTCATTATCAAGGATTTTAATCATGACGGAAAAGCTGCAGGTTATATTTTAAATGTTCTTTAAGATAAATTTATCGATTTATAAGACTTATCTAGTAAAAGTGGCAGTCAGGTGAATTAGTTTTTGGGAGAGATCAAATTAGACAATAGTTTGAATTTGAGAGATTTATTAAAATAAAAAATTAAAGAGAATTTTCCACATGATTTGAATTTATTTTATAGATAATTAGCAGAGTTGCACATACCACTTTTTTAGTAGGTACATTATCGATAATAATAAGTGTTGGCTAATACAACCGATATAAGTTCCGATACCATAAAATTATTTTATAATTTTTTTTTGAAAAAAGGTAAAGATATAATTTATCAATTTATCAATTTGTTCATTTTTTATTTCATTTATCATTTATAATTAATTTATGAAATTTATAAAAATAAATTAACAGTAAAAAAAAATGGAAAAATAAATTAACACCACCTTCTTTCATTCCTATTGGTTTACCAATTTGCATCTTTTTCAAAAGTTTTATGAAGGTTTATCATTTTCCAGTATATCGGTCATGTGTATCGAAAAGTACCGATCAATATTGACACTGTATCGGCCTGGTGCATTTCTGACAATTAGGAGGGTGCAGTAAAAAATATAAAAAAATTGGTTTCCAAATCTTGTGTCAATAAGATCTGAACAGTGAGTAACATATATTGATTCTATATTAATGGTAATTCAAGGTTATATGTAAAATTACGATCTTTATAAGTATCCCATAATAGTGAACACGTGTTAAAATGATATATATTTTGTTTAATTCCATAGTTAATCAAAGCCCCATTTTATTAAATATATCAAAAAGAGCAAATAGGAAAAAATTTTACTTAAATAACATGAAAATGAGCTCAAGTTCACAAGAAATATGAAAAATTTAAGATATTATTCACTTATTGATATTGATATCGGGTGGTGATGAGCATAAATATAATTAAAATTAAGTATTTTAAAAAGAAAGTGGCCTTGTTTATATTAATTTGTCTAGACATTTGATTCAAGGTTAATTTTATAGCTTTTGTGCATCCAAATTTTAATGCATTAAAAATCTATTATCATATATTTTAATTATTTTTAGCTTTCTTCAATGTTGGGATCATCAGCGGATACCCTAATAACCACGGATATCGGTTGGCAGATGAAAGAGAAAGGTATGGTAATTTTTTCATACCACTGATTTGTCTAAATTTCTATTGGTCATTAACTCAATATTCAAATTTTCATTTTAAATATAATCGTCCAGGCCCGTACACAACGAGGAGAGGAGGGGGTTATAAATCTCCCCAAAAAGCGAGAAAATTCAGATGCTGAATTTTTTTAAAAATACTCCTGTTTTTATGATTTTTATTATATTTTATATCAATCATTCCTACCTCTTATCGCACATATATTCCAATTTACATTTATTGATCACATTCACTGCAGAAATAAATGCACTACTTATGTAATCAGTAATCTAGAATTAATAAAGATATAAAATTTTCCCTGGCAGTATATATCTGCCATTTTAAATTTCCTATCAAATAATTTGAAACTTTTTACCACCATATTTCAATAAATGACATCAATTTGATTGAAAATAAGATTAGCTGAAAAAATTATATTTAGGAAATTAGGGCAAATGTAGATGACGAATTTCACAAATTCGATGTCGTGGAGCTTTATGAATTTAATTTTTCTCACAGCTAGGCAAGCCCATCATTCCAATATTAAGGGACAATCGAAAAATACTATTAAATAAATCTCTCTATCTCCATCTTGGATACTTTTATAGCTTTATTGTTAATTTTGGAAAAATAAAGATAAAATTATAAAATGGGTTGCTATCCAATTAATGGTGAATAATGCTACCTATTCGTATATTTTAAACAGACAAAGTTTGTAAAGAACTTATTTTGTCTTAATTAAGAAGTATGCATGTCATATAGAATAAAAGAAATTTACTATTCATACTAATTAAGTAATTTTTTCCTTTGAAAAGTTTTATTTATCCTTTAATTAAGAAAACAGATTTCTAACATAATAGAATCATAATAATTATAAAAAGGCCTTCTTAAAATAAACAGGTGGAACTATACACTTTAAAGGAATATTAAAAATCTTTTAGACAATCTTTATTATTTATCAGGGTCAACCTTAAAATTATTGCTATAATTTAAAAAAAATATAAAGATTTACCACTCTACGACAATACATAAACGAAGATATTGTGCTAAATCTTCCTACGTTTCTATCTCTTCAAGACTTGAAGTGGTTTGCTATATGGTCTGAAATCGAATTAGTTTATAATTAATTCATATTTTATAAAATAACTTTTCCACCCTAATCTAATAATATTTGTTCATATATTTTTGAATAATCTATCTTTTTTGAGATATAAACAAATTAGGTAGTTTTTATTTATAACAAATTCCTTGGTAGAAACATTTCAGAATTATCCTCTGCGATTCAGCAGTAAATAAATATGATTTAGTTATTCGGACAATCTTCATATATAATATTAATAATATAAAAAGAGGCACTTCAATGATCAGTTTGAAATATATTTAGTAAAATATTAAAATTAAACTATATGAAATTAGTATCAATATACAGAAGATTTCTTTTATAAAATCCTAAGGACCTCTCTACAATTTTTATTAATTTACATAAAGTTTAATTGGTAATGCTATCAAATTACAAAGACTGTGGTATTTTATACCTACATTTTTATATCTATAAATATTTTTGAGTTAATGTTAAATATTTAAAACGGTTACAATATTTGTGGTATATCATACCCACAAAAATGAAAGTTAAATTTTTGTTATGTAAAAAATGATTAACTTCAATTTTTATAAATGGTTAAATCATGTAGTTATTACTAGAACTTTATAAAATTACCGTGTATTTATCTATCCAAAATTTTTTCGCAAAGCTGTCCCTTAAAATCAGCGCCAAATATCTTAGTGTATATTCTAGGTACTATCCATTAACCAGTTTCTTTCTATAAAAGATGACTAATTTGTTTACTTATAAGTTGACATAATTTATATATTATTTAATCAGGTGAATATTTATGAATTTAAAATAAGCAAACCATTTATCATTCTTACATTGAATGCTTCTATCAGAATATGCAAAGACAAAAATACGTAAAATAGCGATCCACGTTTTTTTTATATGATCGTTAGGTCCAAGACATTGTCATTTCATTCCTAAAATTAAAGTGATCTATTTTGTAACTTATAGTTAATAAAATTTATCAACTATTCAGCTAACTAAATTTTAGAACTAATGATAATTTTTCTAAAAAGAAAAGCTTCGGCCAAATTATATTTAAAGATGATGTCTTAAAATCACTGAAAATCCCTGCAATCAAATCTTTAGGACCTATCAAGGGAATCGCACATGATATAAGTGTTAAAGAAGTCACACTTATGACCGAACGCACACTCTATTTGAAGGATTTCATTTACGATGGCAAGGCCCCAGGTTATTTTTTTTAAAGAATCTATAACCGAAATAAGATTCTAAAATATTGCATAAAATATGCGCTAAAAAAATTTACTCTTCGATTTTGCCACTGTATTAATAAGATAGAAAGATAGGTGCTAAATTTCTTTTTTTAATGATTAATAATTTTTTAAGATTTGTTTTACTACGCTGGAAATACGACGAAAATAACTAATGAGGGAAATACACAGGTCCCTGATCATAGAGGGAGGTAAATAATTTATTCAATTTAGCATAATAAATAATGGAAAATCACCTATAGCTTTTATTATATATCCTTTTTAGAAACAAGAATATTATTTCCCAAAATGTGTCCTTTTAAATTAATATTAAAACTCACCAATTCGCTAAGTAACGATCAAGTTTAATTAAAACACTAAGCCCATTTTTAATATATATTAACGGAATCATTCCGATCTGTATCTCATGCCTTATAGCCGGGATATACCTAGATCACCTTCAGAAAAAAAACCCATTCTTTCCTAGATTCGATCCACAAAATTTCCTCAAACACAATAATTTTATTTGTATTATATTGGTAACCATATGTATAAGAGTCTCCAAAAACAATATTTTTTTCAGAAGCGTACAAAATTATTGACCTTTTTCAAAAATATAGTGTTTTTTAGTCACATTGTCTTAAAGTTATTTTTGAGGTATTTTTTTTTTAAAATTGCTAATATTTGAACTTTTTAATTGATTTTAAAACTTTGCATATTAGAATAAGTTCTCACATTTGATTTTATGAAAATATTTTATTTAGAAATATTATTGTTTTTTGGAACATTATTTTAACCAGAGTTTGAAAAAATCTACAAAAATATTTTTAGCAAAAGGAAGATTTATTTTAAATAAATTTGTTTGTAAAAAATCTTTTATAAATAAATGTAATTTTCATGCATAAATTACGATGAAATCACAAATTTTTTAAAATTCTAATTTTAACTGATTAATCTTAATTATTTATTAAACTTTGTTATAATTATATTATATATTTGCTCAATAAAATTAATTCCCCTTTTTGCTTGTCTTTCTATATTTTTATATAAGGCTAAGCATATCTTAATTTTAACTTAAAATGAATAAAAATTTCTAAAATTTAGAAACCCGAAAAACCCTAAATAATTTTTTAATTACCTTAACCGAACCGGCGAAAACATTTATAATAGATTATTATTTATCTTCAAGTGCTTGGGTTGACGATTGTTTGATAAAGCAATACTATCACTAAAGCAGAATAGGTCAGACGTCGATTCCATAGGAATGACGTCTTTGGGAAGCTTCTCGCTTTTCATTACATTTTTTATGGGACTACTAAATTAAATGTGCCTATCAGTAGCTTCAGTAGAGAGTTGGGGGCGGGAATAGTACGCAGGGGCTCAAGCCCCCTAAAAAATTTGAAATTTTTCTTTATATCCAAAAAAGTTAATTTTGATAATATTAGTTTAAAAAGGTCATTTTGAAAATAATTTTTAAATTTGAACCCTCTAAGATTGTAAAGACTAGTGACGCCCCCGGTGTCTATGTCTATGTCTATGGTATCATTCATTCGTAAGATTTTTTCACGTATTTTTTTTACAGACGAAGGAAATTTTGAGGTGAATTTATAGATTGAAGTAGAAAATGAGGTGTTTATCAATTTAGCAAATTTTCCCCTAAATTATATAAAAATATTATATAACATAAAATTACACAATCATGTCCAAGGGGCGGGGGGGGGGGTGGGTAGGTTTCAACTCCAAATCATCTCCCTTAACCCTCTAAATTACCGACCAAAAATATTCTGTCAATGAAGGGTCTAAAGTCATAAGTTGATTTTATTTTGATCTGGTAATTATTGTGATTTTAGTTTTGATATTTATAAGTTATTTTGCTTTCTTAATTAACCAATTTGGTTTTGGCAGCATAGAGTAGGACTTTTAACTTAATTAGAGTTAACAATATTATAAGGAAGCCAATAAAAACAATTAAGAATTTAAAAAATAATTAATCCACTTATAAATGCCAATTAAATTGAAAGTGAGACCTACAAAATGCATACAATTATTTCTATTAAAATTTATGATTATGAACTAGAGATTAACAAATTATTTTTAATAACTTACTGAAACCTAAATCGTAGCTTTTAAAAAAATATTATCTATTCATGGAATGAAGGAGAATAAAAATTACATTATAAAATTTAAAATTTGACTCCAATATATACGACACAGGTTTTAATAGAACGATTCTAACAAAATGTTTTTGAAAAGGGTCTCTTAGGTTGGGAGAAAGGAAAAGGACACATGTTTTTTTTTAAAAAATGGTTAAGTTTCTGAAAGAGTATGTTATGTGATCAAAAAGCATGGTATTGAGATTGTAAGTTCCAGTTTTACATATGAGGAATAATCTTTAGGACTTCAAATTTCTGGCTGATTTAATTTATTCTCTAGGATTCATTCTATATCATTTTCTCTGTCTGCATAAGTTAACTTTTTTATAAATCAAATTTAATTTGAAGCAGAAATAGAAATCATTTTTGATATTTTAATTGACAGATTTTATATTATTAAAACAGTTTATTTATAATTTTAAGAAAAATGAATATTAAACTTAATTTAAAAGCACTTGAAAATATTTTTTAAAAGTTTTATTTATAAAAAAATACTTTGCAATAAAATTTGTACTCTAATATACTAACTATTTCATACCTTTAATTTTTTTTGAATTTCTAAGGGATTGTGTTGCCAATAACAGACAAAATAAAAAATTTAACCTTAAATAAGATAAGATTGAGTATATGTAATAATTGTCACTTTAGCTGAGATTATTTTTGATTAATGATTTTTATAAGAAGCTCTTCCGTTTAACTAAAAAATCAATAGAATATCTAAATTATAAAACATACGCAGATAGAACAATTTAATCTTTATGATATTTAAATCATTGTATTATATTTTAAATAAGTTACGAAGGTTTACGAAAAGCTAACAGAGAAGATTTTCTTATAACATTACCGGAAAATTTAACGTGGATGGATTTTAGATGGTTTAGCCTTTATTGCTTATCTTTCGTTGTTGATTTGGGTTCAGTTAAAATTCCAAAGGAGTTGTATTTACCGCCTTACAACGCTTATAAAGTAATGTTTTAGCATAAATGAATAATAAGATCATAAGTAGGATATAAATGAAAAGGGAAAGAGAAAAGAAGGTGGAAAATGAAATAACAGTTTCTAAAAAATAATATTATATTTGTTTTTTATAGCTTAGGCAAGGATCTCTAAATGCCCACCAAGAAGAATTGGATTTATTCAACACTAAAATTGAAAATTTTGACTTTTGAAATTGAACACGTTTCGATAATGTTACCATGAATATTTCGTTTTCTTTTTTTACATTTCATTTCATTTCATTTCCTTTTTTCTTTCATTTCGTTTTTTTATAAAAGGTATTTAGTTTTTTTAAGGTTTTTAATTTTTAACACTTTACATTTGTAAATTTTATTTATATATTTTCTATAAAATTATTTATCATTCTTTCTTTACTTTTTTATTTCTATTTTTTATTTATTCCCTATATGTATTTATATATCTTCTTTCTCTTCTTCTTATATTTTTTAAATTTTTGTTTTCGAATGCCATTTCAATCAATTATTAATAGCTTGAAATTTATATTGTATTTCTTACATTATAAAAATAACAACCATATATAAAAGAATATTGAAAAACTTAACAAAATCTATAAGGTCATAAAAAATGGTGATTTTCACGTTAAGTAAATTGCCAAGTATGACACATTTCATAATGACAAATTGAGTAATGGAATACGGAAAATGTAAGAATTTTTTTTTTATTGTGACCACTTAATTCTGGTAGCACTTTCTCTTATAATTTTTATATAGGTCTAATAATCCCTAATTTTTTTATAAAAGAATTTCTAACTTAATATGCCAGTGTTTCCAGTTTTTTTAACTGATGTATTAATGATATATTGATCTGTATCAATTTTTTTTTGTAATCTGCTTTTAACAAATTTCTTTTAATATTCTTTTTATAAATTTTATACTATTAATCTTAATTAAATAAAAATAAGTATATTATTAATAAAAATCTAATTTAATATTTTGATTTGTAGCTGAGTTTTCAAATCATTAATCCAGTCAATTAACAAATTTAGCACATTAAATTTAAAATGCATCTCCCAAAACAAAATTCTAAGAATCTATGCTAGTGATCTGCATCGGGCCTAATTTTTCAAGCCCGGCCCGAAATTTTTTTTAAAATGGTTTTGCCGGCCTGGCCCGAACCCCAAATTTTTCTAAATAAGTTTTGCCGGCCCGAATTTATTTAAATATAGAAATTAATTTTTATAATTACTCAAAATAAAACACATATGTTATATGGCGTTTAGTTTCAATAAATAAAATCAAAAATTTTTATTTTACATAAAAAATTCAATATAAAATTCGGTCCGAATCGGGTACGGGCTGGACCTAACTTTTCAGATCTCTAATCTAGCGGTATACTTTATACTTTTCAACAACTTAATAAATAAATCCTAAAATGCTGATCAATAAAGTACCCATTTAAAATAAGTGTAATAGACAGTTATTGGTTCATTTATTTATATTGAAACCATAATCCATTCACATTATAACATAGTTCGTAACATATATTCAATATAAAAAACATTCTTAATCATTTCATTCTTTTTCTTCCAATTTTCGGTACCTAGTCATTACATCTCTCCTCCTCTTAGCCCTAATTCCTCCTCGTATTCTGATTTTGTCATCTTTGGTGACAGGCTGCTAGCCTATAACCTCATCGTAATTTTTAACTACGTCCTAATAAACTAGCCCTAATTCCTTTTCATTTCTAATGTTGTTATCTATGGTGACTAAATTTTTAATTACGTCCTAATAAACCAGGTTTTATATCTCATCGATTTTCACAAATATTCATTATTTAGATCAATTATTATATTCCATAAACCCATCTCCCTCTATAATAGTTTTTCTCCATATATTCATTATTTCCTCAATTAAAGTTTGTTATTCAATTTACCATGTTAATAGTTTTTTTTCTGTATATTCAATAATTCCATTATCTTAGTTTATTGTTCAATTTACCATATTTCCCAATAATAGGTTTTCTCCAAATATTCAATATTTTCATAATCTCAATTTATTGTTCAATTTACACATCAGACATAGGCGTAGCCAGGGGGGGGGCAAGGGGAAATTACCCCCCCCCCTTCAGAAATTTAACACTTTTTGTAAATATCATTTTTAGCTAATAAAAAATATCCCCCTTAGTCCACCCCCCACTCCCTGACCCTCAAATATGTATGCATATATCTTAAATAATAATTTAAAAGAAAGAATGTAAAAGTTGATATTTTTTTATAAAACTATTTATCATAATTTATAGATTTTTGGGAAAATAAATTTATAAATATATAAAATGAACCAAAAATGTTTTTTAATATAAGACAGAAGTGAAATGTATCATAATTATATTAATAATAGATCCATAAAATTAATAAATAATATAATATATCAAATATAATTTTTTATAAAGTGAGTAATTTTAATTTATTAATCTTAATAAAAGTTAAAAATAATTTTAAAACTATTGATAAAATTAAATCATAAATTAAAAAAATATTAAAGCACAATACAAACAGTGGAATATTATATGTCGTAGATTTACAGTATATCTAATTATCAAATGACAAGCAAGTAATTTTTACCTATATAGCGAATAATCTATTTTACAGATAACTATAAAATATTGATAAGGACATCAGAAAATATCTTTTAAAGACATTGTGGGATGAATAATATAAAAATTAAATTTAAATATCATTTTTCTTAAATTAAATAGATGGCGTTAAATAATTGAATGCAAATTGTTGCATATTTAATATCAAGAGCATTGATTAGTAAAATTTGTTATATTATTAACTGTATTATATTCTCTAACTGTCAAATATGTCTGTAAAAGTGGAATTTTACCTAGTATTTTATAACTAATTCTATATAATAGAGTAAAATCAACTATATGGCTACTTACTTTTTATAAATAAATTACTTATAATTGTTTGGAATAAATTATTACCATGCTTTTATATTAAGGTATATACAATACAAGTAATTTATTATATTTTTATTTTATATAAACTAATAAAAATATATTTCATATAAACTAATAAAATATTTCATATAAACTAATAAAAATATATTTCATATAAACTAATAAAAATATATTTCATATTTGTTCCAGGCTTATATTAAAATTTGTAAAAATATTTATTACTATATATAGACTAAAGTAACCCGGCCGAAGGCCGGGAAAAGCGGGCCGAAGGCCCGCCCAAAAGGGGTCTGGGGGCGAAACCCCCAGTAATTTTTTAATTTCCTCCCCCTTATGAAAATCCTGGCTACGCCTATGACATCAGATATTTTCCATAATTCTCAATTTAGGTATTGTATCAAATCAATTTCATATCGATCAGATATCATTATTTCAATTTGTTCATCCATGTTTAAATTCAATTTTATCATATTTTTTAGATCAATATTCATTTGTTAAATTATATCCCATTTTCAATAATGGACATAAATCTCCCAAAATTAATTTCAAATTACACCATTAACATTGTTTTAATTTAGTAGTTTATATATTTCATATTAATATACCAATCAACATATGTTAAATATCTGCGTTCTGAATAATTTTTTTGTTGAAATTTCAATCATTTATGACATTTTTATTGTAAACAGTCATAATTTAATCCTCTTAAATTAATTCATTCTCATTATAAACATTCGATCATTTTTATACCAATATGAACATAATCAAATTATACATTCATATCATACTTCCATATTTCTATGCTCCAAAAATTTCCATTTGTTACCAATCATTAATATAATAGGTTTTTCTAATTAAAATTCCATAATTGAGTTGCCATATGTAACCTAAACTAATTTGTTCATTTATTTATTATATTGAAACCCTAATCTGTTGACATAATCATATTATACATACAGAGTTGGGCAGTATCGTGGATATTTGTATCTAAGTTTTGAGAAGTATCTTGTATCCAGTATCTAAGATACATATTATTTAAAAGTATTTGTATCTTAACTTCAAAAAGATACAGATACTTTAAAAAAAATTGGTTAATTTAAATAGTATTAAAACTTAAAATGATATTGTTTTAAGATTAAATGAAAAATTTAATCAAAATTTAGATATTTTAAGATAATTTTTGATATATGACGTTGGTCGCGTCATATAGCAATTTGCTAACAATTAGAACTACCATATTTGAATCGTTTTATATCTGTCTATTTTAAAATTATGGAAGAAGAAAATAGAATAATATGTTTATCTTCGTCTTCAGATGATTATTCAACCGAAAATTATAACAATAAATTTAAACTAAGCATACTTAATGGCAAATTTTTTGAAGTACTTCAAGATGATCATAATAAAGAAATTCATCGTGATCCGAATACAATTTTCTGAAAATTTGCCCAACCCTGGTTGGGCAGTACCGCGAATACTTGTATCTAAGATACAAGATCCTTTTGTATCTTGTACTCAGTATTTTATTGACATTTTTAATAAGATACTAGTATATGTATCTAAGATCCTTTATTTTGAAAATAATTATTCTTGTTTAAAACATTTACATATCACACTATGTAACTTTATTTTCTTCGTGATTTTCCGCTATATTTTGATAACCAAAATTAGTTGGAAATTTTACAGGTCACAAAGATAGATAGATTAAAAATAACAACACCGAAACTAAATAAGAGAAGGATATATTTGTAATATTTTATAATTTGTAGAATGTTTAACAATCATAGTAGTGAAGATGAAATTATGGAGATAGGTTCTCCTGAATCAAATCCGAATTTTAAAATTCTAGATGGAAAATTTTATAAAGTAATTCATGTGAAAAAGAACAAAGTACAAGCTGAATGTCAAAATTGCACAAGTAAAAAAGTTATTAAAGGTTCAACAAACTCCTCTACAAACTTTGTTAAACATATTAAAGTATATTATACATTTTTATTTTATAATTATTAACATAATAATACCTATACTTAAGTCCATCTTAGATAATTGTTATTAAAATTTTTTATAGAAGATGGCTGATTATCAAATTAAAATCATTTTGGATATATATTTTTTAGGGGTGTACCGATACCACTTTTTAGAGGCCGATCCGATATTCCCGATATTAAATTGATATCGGCCGATTACCGATTCGATATCATATCTAATTTTGTATTCTGTAAAGATACCAATGGTTTTAATTTTTAAT